TTTTTTTTATTTATGTTTCAGAACGTTTATTAGTCATTTTCGTCTAGCTTCTTTTTTCAACTTTTCGCTCATTTCTTGTGCTTGCTTATTGTCAGGACTCCTATAAATCGATAGGTTTCTGAACAAAGAAAGTTAAATTTTCCACTTTAAAGTTTCTAAGCTTTTTAGAAGTTTATTCACTGGTGGAAAAATATTTTTTACTTAAAAAAAGATGTAAATTCGAGGAACGTGTTAAACTGCTATAAATGGTCACAATAAATTTTTTTTTTAAGATGAGGTTTTCAAGAATTTTATCTGTTTTAATTTTCTGCTTTTTATTTCTACAATGTTTTGAAAACTGCTTTAATAGTGCATTTGTTTCTGAGTAGTGTAAGTAGGCTCCGCTGTGGGTTAACGTGCAGAAGAGGAGCTAGAACTTGTAAGGCTGCTATCGACAGCTAGTGTAATGCACTGTTTATAGGTTTAAATAAAATGGAAGCAGGATGAAAACAAATTATTTGTTAGCTTTTAAATAGAGATATTTTAAATAATAATTTTCAAAAATGGGAAGATTTGGAATGTTTAGAAGCAGTTTTTGTTCTTTAACTTTATAAGCATAAATTTTTTTGTTATTTTTGAAAAAATAACAATTCTAAATGGTATTTGAAGGACTTTGAGTTTTGAGTTCCTTAATCCGAGAAGAGCATTTATTTTAATCGCTAATTCTGTTCTTTATTTCATCTTTTATAAGTCACTTTTTTCAAACTTGCTGTTTTTTCAGATCTAAATTCTGAAGTTTGTTGTGCTTCCAAATCTACATCATCAAGTGCAGCTAACATGGATAACATCGAGGTATGTTACAGTTGAAAATTTGTAATGATTAATACTAATGCAAAAAAGTTACAGGACTATATTGAAATGCTGTACGAAGAAATTGCCGATAAAATCAAAGGGACAGCCTGTATTCTTCAGTTGAGCAACAGTGCATTTAATGTAAAAGGTTTAGTTGAAAACGGTACGATTAAGTTCAATGCTTGGATTCAAATTTTACGATTATTTGTGGTCACTGCTTGAAATCTTGATCACACTTTTTGTTGCTGGTCAGGGTGCGTTTTGTTTTACTGGTGTTTTTTAGAAACTCTGACTGGCGCATTGACTCGAGTGCTAAAAGATGATTGGAAAAAGTCTTATGAATTAGCAACTAATATTGTTTCGATATTCTACAACTTTTCTCTTTATTCGGACTTCCATTCTATACTTGCTCAGCACAAAGTACTTGCCTTATTCCATTTCCTGTTCAAGCGTTTATTTATTTTATGGAGATGGAATAATCTTTTTTAGATTGGCACTTTATGTATGCAAGTAATTGATTATGAATTGAAGCACTGGAATGGTCTTGATACTGAATGGCACAAACGCAATGATCGAAATTCTTTAAAAAGTGACTCAGTTCCATACAAACAGCAAGCTCTAGTTGCAGGTAGTGTTTGAATTTTTAGTTTGAAATTGTTTTTGACTCATTTTTCAGCTTTATATTAAATTACATGCTCTCATTGGCATCACCCCAAGTTGATTAACGATAATTTGATTTGTATTTGATTGTATAAAAATTTGTGTTTTCAGTTTGTTTCAACCTTCTAATGGACCTCGCAGAAGATGTGAAAGTTGAGTTGAAAATGGTGAATCGAAATCTTGTCAGTATGTTGGCAGAGTGTGTCGCTGAAAAAGAAGCTTCACCGGAGCTTTTAATAGCTGTCACGAAGTTTCTACTTAAGCTTAGCATTTTTGCTGAGAACCAGCAAGTAATGGTCAGTTGTAAGAGGAGTAATATGTTGCGTAAGGTTTTTTAAAGTAATATGGATTAAAGGACTTTTTGCGTCTACAGACGACTTATAAAAAGAAATTGCCTCTTTAGATAGATGCTCGTATTGTTGAAAGACTTGCAAATCTTTTCCCTATTCAAAATGAGAAACTTCGGAACACCGTTTTTCGACTGCTTTTTAACCTCTCTTTTGATGCCTCTTCGAGAAATCAAATGGTAGCTGCCGGGCTTGTTTCACATGTCGCTTCGTTTATTGACAGTAAGCTTATAGTTTTGTTAGTACTGAATTTAAAAGTATGCGAACTCCTCTTTATTTATGCCTAAGTTTTAGTTTCTAGACTTGTTGCTTGCACAAACATACCGTATAAGATAGGTCCAAAACTTTAAATGAAGGTTTTCTTTTCTTTTAGTCATATTTTGATTTCAGAAAATGACTATTCTTTGAACTTAATGTATCATTTGAGCATGAATGACGATGCAAAAGCGATGATTGCGTATACTGATGTAATACAAGCCGTTAGTTTTCTTATGATCCCTGAAATTTCTTGTTATGGAGTTGGATAAAAAGTTTCTGTCATTTTTTGAATTTCAACGTTTTGGTTACCGTCAAATGTTTTTGGCACAGTGTTAAGATCATTTGTGAGAGAACTTTTTGTTTTTTTTGGGAAATGCATTTTGCTTTCCTTTTTATAAGTAAATTTATGCTAATTTCCAAGTCTTTGGAATGAATTGTCAGGTTAAGAAAAATGAGCATTTTTGACACATCTGCCTCCGGCAGGGAAGCTGGGATGCATGCAAAGTATAGTAGATAAGCATCTTTATTGAAATGGAGAAGTTAAATTATTGAATTTCGTTGAAAAATAAACTTTTAAACGCCTGTTGATATTGCGGAACACGAAGAAAGTTAAAACTTGAAGCAGAAGGTAAGAGTTTGCTAACTAATCCAGTAGTTCAGGATTTAGGCAAACTGGAAGTTTTTGGAGAACCTTTTGTATTTGATTTTAGAGGAAAACAAATGTTTAAATCTTTAATTACTTTAGACGGTTTTTCAAGCAGTTCTTTTATTAGTATTTTTAGTTAATGAGACGGGTAGTGAGCGGTACATCATCTGAAGTGTCTAAGGGACTTCTTTTGAACATTGCTCTGGAAAAGCGCAATGCACAGTTGATATGTGGTTCTGATGGTAGTGGGTTAGATGTTATTGCAACCACTGCACTTGCAAATACCGATCACGTATTGATTAAAGTTTTAAGAAATATAGCCTCGCATTCAGGACCTTCTCAGCTTTTTTTCTCGGTCAGTCTCAGCTTCCTTATCTGATTGTCTTATTTGACTTTACATAC